CTCCGCCCCCCATGACCCCAGTGACCCTAAACGCCAGAATAAAGAGAGCTTTCTGTGACCTTCTTGTGATGCTTTCAGGGACCTGGTTCCTCTGCACAACGCCTGCTCGTACGGACACTACGAAGTCAGCGAGCTGCTGGTGAAGGTCTGTGTGTGTTTCTTTACTCACGTCTACACGTGTTGCCGTCATACGTGACGCTGACGCTGCGTGTTCCTGTGTGCAGCACGGCGCCTGTGTCAACGCCATGGACCTGTGGCAGTTCACGCCTCTGCACGAAGCCGCTTCCAAGAACCGCGTGGAGGTACGAGAGGCAGCGGCGCCGAGGACCGACGGATGGTTCTGCTTGTTTCATCCTGCTGGGTTCTCCGTTAACGAGCCTCTAAGAATCAATCTGTTGTTTGTACAGAACAGTTAAACAAAAGCCACCAGATCAGTGTCATGAATAAGAAGTTAGATACTGAGACTACTGATGTTACTGGTAGTGTGGATGTAGCTGATTAATTTACATCTTACTGATTAAAACCCACAAATTACATGAAGTACAGCTTCACCTGACTGTAATATTAATCGTTACGACATTAACTCGATTCCTTTAATGATTAAGGCCCCACAGTGTTGTTGTTGTGACTGATTGTGGAGATGAGCCCGACTAGTTCAGGGTGAAAATCCAACCAATCCAAAGAGTCGCTGGTTTTGTTATTTCGACTTGAAGCTCTTTGATTCAGGGAAACAACGAGTCGAGCAAAACCTCGTTTCAAACTGACGGGAAAAAGGAGTTTTACCCAAACTTTGTCTGTTTTGTTTCAATTTGACCACAAGATGGCGCTCCGGCACGCTGAGGCCTCCAGGGATGTTTGAAACTGACAGTGAAGTGGTTAAAGGTTGGGTTTGGGTTTCAGGAGTTACAGAACGAGTTACAGAACGAGTCGTCTCTGAAGCCGGTTTGTCTGCTGCTGCTCTGGTTGTCGTCACCTGTGTGAACTGTCCTCACCTGTCCAGGTGTGTTCTCTGCTGCTGAGCTACGGCGCCGACCCCAGCTTCCTGAACTGCCACAATAAGAGCTCCATCGACCTCGCTCCGACCTCGGCGCTGAAGGAGCGACTGGCCCGTACGTCCCGTCGGGAGGCATCAGCGGCTGCTCGCTCTGGGTTTGAGGCTTTTTATTCATGTTTCCTGTTTTTGCTCCGTCAGATGAGTTCAGAGGCCACAGTCTGCTGCAGGCGTCCAGGGAGGCCGACCTGCTTCAGGTCAGGAAGCACCTGAGCCTGGAGACCCTGGGCTTCAGACACCCCCACAGCCAGGAGACGGCGCTGGTGAGGATTCAACATTCAGTTCATGTAGACGACCGACAAAAAAGCTGCTCTTGGCTTTGAAAGGCGTCTTTTCTTGAATCGCAAAAATGGCCCCATTCATCAAAACAGGAAGCTGTAAAAGCAGAAACGTTCTGTCGGTTCTGATCATGTGGGACCGAATCCAACCTTAAATCATATTTAATCAAAATCACTCCACAGAGCAGAGAAAAAACAACAAACCAGAGGCAGGATGTGGTCAAAAATGAACAACGTGTGTTTACCAAAGTCAGACCGTTGTTTGTTGTTGTTGTTGTTTACGATAAAAGAGACAAAATATAATTAAAACAGGAGAAAATGGCGCCATTATCAGCCAGAAACGTCTGATTTTGAACTTTTTTTAGTCAAGTTTTCAGTCATTTTGGCCAGAATCAGAGCAAATGTGGCCACAGTGTGAGTCCCAGGCTGCTGCTGCTGAGTTCAGAGGAAACTACATGCGTGTTTATTTACTATGTAAACATCTACACGCGTGTGTGTTTGTGTGTTGTCAGCATTGTGCGTCTGCGTCTCCGTATCCGAAGAGGAAACAAGTTTGTGAACTTCTGCTGAGGAAAGGAGCCGACGTCAACGAGAAGTCCAAAGAGTGAGTCTGGTTCTGGCTTCGTTTGCAGATTAACGAAGCAGCAGAGGACAGAAAACGGAACCGGAGGCCTCGGACCTGTTGTCACGCTGCTGCTGCTGCTGCGTTTGATCGCTAAAGTAAAAAACAGATTCCGTCTCGTCATTTCTGTTGCAGCGATTTGGATTCTGTGGTTTGATGGTTTCTAATCGACTTGTCGTCAGCTTTAGATTATGAAAGACCTGACTGTTATGATGTCACTGTGTTTGTGATGTCACTGTGATGTCACTGTGACCTCAGCCTGCTGACCCCCCTCCACCTGGCGTCAGAGAGAGCCCACAACGACGTCATCGAGGTGTTGGTCAAACATGAAGCCAAGGTGAGCACACACCGACACGCTAGCAGCACCGTTGGCCCACTGAGGCCGGCCCCGGTCCCACCTGTGGCTCCACCCGTGGTCTCACATGTGGTCTCACATGTGGTCTCCCCTCTGGTCCCACCTGTGGTCTCACCTGTGGTCTCACCTCTGGTCCCACCTGTTGTCTCGCTGCAGGTGAACGCCGTCGACCATCTGGGCCAGACGGCGCTGCACCGGGCCGCCCACGCCGGTCACCTGCAGACCTGCCGCCTGCTGCTGACCGCTGGCTGCGACCCGCTGCTCACGTCGCTGCAGGGATTCTCGCCGTCGCAGCTGGGCAACGAGAGCGTGCAGGAGATCCTGCAAGGTGCCTCCGATCACCAATAATCACCGTTATTGATCGCGTCTCTCTGGTCGGGAAGGCGGGTGGCCAGAAGTATGTGGACAAGCTCTCTCCACACTGTTTGGTTTATCGTTAAATGAACTCTTCTAAAAGCTTCAGCGTGCAGAAATACCTGAGATGAATGTTTGTCTCTTTAATGTGTCGCCACGAACGAAGCAGCTGCAAAAAATAAATTCTTTCAAGTTCTGTAGAAGAACTTCAGAACTCAGTGTGAACCTCAGCACTGGGCGTCCACATACTTTTGGCCACATGGTGAACCTGGTTTGTTCCGTCTCTTATTGTCAGCTTCCTCCTGCTCAACCAGCTCCAACAAGCTTTTATTTAATCTGAAACTCTGGATATTTAAAACTGGATCCCCATAATTACAGATTGTTGATCTATTTGTCCGATATGACAGGTTCTGATGATGAGAAATAACAGAGAAACTTTCAGGTTTTGATCTTTTATAGTTCCTCAGATGTTGTTCAAAATAACCAACAAAAAACCTGCTGAACGTTTATCTCGGTAAGATGTTGATAAATTAAAAAACTCACAGATATCTTTATGTGCATCTATACTTTGTGCTATAAACACGACAGAAATAGCTTTAAAGATGTGTTGATTTGAGCTTGAAAGACCCAAATGTAGAGTTCCTTTTTTATTTCACTGGATAAGCGTCCTCCACAGAGAGCCGTGTTTGGGTTTTATTGATCGGTATGTTTGCCTCCCAGCAGAAGGAGTCCTGATCGGGAACTCTGAAGTCGACCGGCAGCTGCTGGAAGCCTCCAAATCTGGAGATCTGGAAACAGTGAAGGTAGTTTTAATGCACCTTCTGGCAGCCGTGCTTTAGCTTCTTTACCGAAATGTGTTCACGTGTGTTGGTTTGGTTTACATCGGGTCTGTTTTTTAGCTCTGGTTTATGTTAGCGACTGGATTAGCTGCGGATTTGGTGGGAAAGCACTGTTAGGTTGTAAAAACACACGTAGAAGTACTTTGGTTAAAATGCTGAAGAACTTCCAGCAGTAGCAGCTGGTAGTTTGGTTCCAGTACAGATTTCCCAGTGGTTCCAGTTCCCATCACAGACAGCAGAACCCTGAAACACACCTCATACCATCTCTAGTTCTTTTATTATAAATCCTAACACTGAACAGTCCCGCAGTCCGTCCTGCTGCTCCGTTTTTCTTCTAGATATGAGGATACTAAGAACACAAATTCAAGAATATGTACGTCAGTGAATTTCACTTTAGTTCGTCTTAAAATCTCCTGTTTTGGTTTCTGATTGGTTTATAACTCAGTACAACTGTGGCTCAGTGTGATTCAGGACTCTGCTCTGTTTCATCATCAACAGAAACAATCATTAGAAGTTTTATTTTTACGCAGAAGGACGTTTGTTTGACCCGCTGCCTCCTAAATCTGAAACAGAACTGATAAATTCCCTCTTCATGCCTCTGTCTCTTCGTCCACGTCCTCCTCGCCGTCTTCAGAAGCTGTGCACGCTGCAGAACGTGAACTGTCGGGACGTGGAGGGTCGACAGTCGACGCCGCTGCACTTCGCCGCCGGCTACAACCGGCTGGCCGTGGTCCAGTTCCTGCTGCAGCACGGGGCCGACGTCCACGCCAAGGACAAGGGGTGAGCAGTCTGAAGTGAAGCCCCAGTGTCCAGCTGCTGGGAAAGAAATGTTTAGTCACAGAGCTTCCCTCCTCGTTTCTTCTCCTCAGAGGTCTGGTTCCGCTCCACAACGCCTGCTCATACGGCCACTATGAGGTTGCAGAACTGTTGGTTCTTCACGGCGCCGTCGTCAACGTGGCCGACCTCTGGAAGTTCACACCGCTGCACGAAGCCGCCGCCAAGGGAAAGTACGACATCTGCAAACTCCTGCTGCAGGTA